GCCCTGTCCCCGAGGGCCTGCGCCGAGCTCCCGGCACGGGCAGGAGACCCGCCCGGTGTCCCGCCGGCCTTAGCGATAGCTCTGGTCCCCAAAAGATAACGTCCCAGAAATTCAGATTGCGGCTCTTACTGACCCTCCTTCTCCCAAGCGTCTCCCACGAGGGGAAACAGGCCAGCGTTTTCAGCCTCAAAAAGGGAAGCTGGAACGTTTCTCCACCTGGACTTGGAGCAAGCTGGAAGAGGCTCTGCAGGTAACAGCAGAAATCTCTGTTCTCAGCTCCTGCGGGGCAGGGAAGAAGAAAACTAGCCGGTGTTCCCCCCTAAGAAGTTCGATGATGAAACCCTCCCTAGCAGCAAGAGGATCAGAAAGGAAAATAGGTTCCACTGGGTATTGCCGTGTCATGTTTAACTGGACCCTACCTGCAGCAAAACCAGGTCTTTCCACGTGCAGTCCTTTCTCAGCCAAGAACTTCCGTTTTAACCATTCCTTTCCTAAAACACAGAGAGTGTGGCGTAGCGATTCCTGCCACATCTAACGAGGCTGATTTTATACACAAAAGAAATGCAAATAATGCAGTGCTCACTTTGCACTGCCTACTGTACGCAGAGAGCATCCCGTTATTTCCCAGCTCCTTCCCAGACGCAGCTGGGAACTTCTGACGTACCCACACCCTGCCCGAGGCAGCGTTTACAGAGCTCAGCCGCTTGCCAGAAATTACCAAATATCTGTGGGGCCTTTTAATACAACTTCTTTCAGACAATTCTGGAAATGAAAGCAGCATCTGCTATACTTGCTAAGGAAAAAAAAAAATAGAAGACGCTGAAGGGTGTAAATCACAGTCGGCCTCTAGCAGAGCTCTCGTTTTGTCACTGACCTTTACTCGCCCAGCGTATGGTTACAGGTTACAGCAGAGTAACAGCACAGCGCGGGAGCTGCTGGCAGATAAATATAGCTTTTCAGGACTACCTGCTGCCCTTGCGGGTGAGGTCACACACATTTAATGTCTATTTTTAACTCAGACACTTTTTAAGAATCCAGTGACCAGGGTCATCTTTTTTTTCCTACATTAACAGACATTTAGAGAAAGCAGCAAAACACAACAGGCTGAATATTTTTAGTACCTCAAAGCTGGTTTTCACTGCTGTTGCAGCCTAAACTTGGTGGACTTCAGTCTCCTTATTGCAGCTACCCTGGAAATCATTAATTGCTGTTAACAGTCAAGAGCCCAAGACAAACCTTTAATTTCCTCAAATAATGTTATGTTCCTATCACATATGAAAAGGCAGAGTTTATTTTATATAAGAGAGTATAAAACCAGTCAGTAATTACTCAAAACAAGTGTAAGAGGTATATTAAATAACAACAAAAAAAAAGAGGGGGAACGAACCAAATCCTTTATCAAGTGGCAAAATGAAATCATGAACCCCACCCCTTTACACTTCCAACACCAAAACAACACAAATGTTTCATCAGGAATCCATCAGACCTATTTACAAAGTAATTTTTTCCTCAGTGAAGCAGTTCCAGCGTGTGATGGAACTACATTACACGTTGTAGAAAGCAAGAGCATATTTAGGGAAACTAGCTTTTATAAAACACAATTATATTACAGCTGTCAGCTACATTACTGAAGAGCACTCGTTTTCATTGTGTCTCGGTGTTTTCATGCCAATGCATTTCGTCAGACTGTCTGTGATGAATACTCTGTACTTACAGTTATTCCATCCCTAAGCTATCACTACACGCTTCTGAAAAGCCATTAGCAAAAGTGCGATACCAGAAATAAGGAAGTACTTCTGTGATTCCTTGGCTTTTTAACTAATCAAGCTCTGTGAAGTATAAATGCAGGCCAGCTTTTTGAGCAGGACAAGACTCGAAATTGTCTAGAAGCTGCCAAAAAAAAGTTCCCGGTGTAGTCTGAACGCTACCAAGAAACACCTCTGTAACTAGAATGTTTAACGTAAGAGGGAATGCACACAACTGTAAAGCCATTCTTCCTGCTCGTTCAGCGGCATCACATGCTGAGAAACCTGCATGCAAGAGAGAAAACAGAGGTGAAACAGCCGTTTACTGGAGAGCTGCGCGTACGTTACCTGAAGCGCTATGTGAGCAAAATGAGCTGTTTCAGTACTTGTGTCACTAACATTAAATGATGAACATTCATCATCTATAATGACAGCTAGTACTCACTACTTACTATTGAATTTAATTGCATGATGGCAAAATATCCATAAGGGGCACTGAGCCTACAGTTCATACTGAATGAAGCCAAAATTAAAATTAATAAAACACCTTCCAGGCTCAGGCCATAGATATCTAAAGTGCCTAAAGTGTCAGCAGCAATATTAGAATAGGCCCCAACCCTGCCTGGGTCATGGGACTGTGCCTGTCTACAACGCGTTTCGACGCATCTACAGTGGAAAGCTGTGAAACATAAAATGGTTTGGATGCCTCTTCTTTTAAAGAAAGAGACCATACTTTTAGAATAATAAAAACTGGGTTTTCTTCATAAATGAATGAAGAAAAATATCATGTGCATTTGTAATGCATTTTCAACTTCATTCTATCCCTTAGAACCCTCGTTTAGAATGTTCACTAAAGCCTGCCCTGCTCTGGAATACGGATCCACAGATCAAATTGCCTTGTGGCTAAACATGATCCCTAAGCCTGGTTTAAGACAAATTAGCCATCTGCAAATCACACTGTCCATAAGCAGTGCCATACATATATTTTTGTTTCTGACTAGCACATGCTTGGTCTGTTTCTCACAGACATCAATATATCTAATTAAAATTTGTTAAGTAAAAAACAAGAAAATGCAGCCTTAGGAAAAAAAATTAAATTAGTAAATGGTACGTGCATTGAATGGGCAACTGAAACAGGCACACGTATGAAAAACTGCACAGCTATGGACTTTTATGGCAATCTGCACAGGGAAACACGGACACATGTTCAGCTCTGAAATATCAGGAACTATATCTGATCTGTACTGGTGATGAAGATGCCACTATCCACGTGCTCATTATCATGATAAAAGACCTGCAAAATGAAACTGTAAAGATGTCACATCATCTTTTTTAATTTTTGCTTAGATTTTAAGTTGGCTAAACAATAAAAATCTTACCATCATGGATTTTGGGGCCACTTCTACAGCAAACACAGTAAGTCCCCTGTTGCTTAGGCAGTTCTTACTCTGCTCATTGCTGACATGAAGAATCACTTTGTTTTCAGACTGCAAGTGAAAAAACATGAAGGAACCCATTAGTCTTAATGGTTAAGTGACTGCTCCTTAGGTAACAACTGCACATCCCTCTTACTTCCTCTGACTTGGCTTTTCTACAGGATAGAAATGCTGTAAGGGTGCTGATGTCTATTCTCTTTGAAGAGTAACAATTTCAAATGTACCTTAGCATCATCAGAGCAGATTCATTGTCAAAAGTCATTTAAGACTTGTTGAAATAACTGAAGCACTTGTGAAGATACAACTTGGGAACACCATTGAGCGAGAAGACTGCCACAGAACGCTACTGGTGCTAACGGTTTACATCATTTCAAAAGGTGACTGGACAAATTCATAGTAGAAAACTACATTAAGGGACTCAAGCAGTCCTTCATCTGCAAATCACTAGAGGCTAGGACAGCAATCTGGAGAAGTGTCACTGGATGCTTGCCCAATTTTTGTACTTGCAACATCCCCTACAGGCCCTTTACAGAGGCAGGACACAGACCTAGAATAATCTTTGTCTGACATCTGATTTTCCAAAATGCTATCCCTCCAGCAAAAGGCTGTTTCCTTAGGAGCTGACACTACAAGTCCTTAAATTCTCACCAACTATGGACGGATTCAATGGAGACTAGGCTCCTAACAGCTGAAGATAAATGCCCAAGGTAAGCAGTAGGAGCACCCTTCATATTCATAATAAATGACCAGGATTCCTCCCTAGTTCCTCAATGCCACAAATCAAGGACACCCCTCACAAAGGTGTTTGTAAGAGACACTCATCAAGATGTGACCCATCCCAATCCACTGCACATGGTTTATTTCAAGCATTCTCTTGAAAAAAACAGGTAGACTTAATAGAGATTTCAAAAAACAGCTGAGAAAATTAATATAAGTATAATCACTTAAAGGACAGATGTTATTGCTGTGCAAATGCTTCCAGGAAGGATCCAAGATATAAAACTGAAAGCTTGGTAATGGAAAATTCATTAACCACCAGTTTGTCCCAGGCAATGCTCAGACATGTGACTCAAGGACTTGCTATATACCCTGCTCTTCAGCTGTCTCTAGGTAAACTTCACTTTGCAGAGACGTTGGGAAATGTTTGATTCTTAGACCATGCTATCCAACATTCTCTCTGTATTGAGAAATGGAATAGAAAGACAGTTACTTTACACAATCACCCTTACATGGCAAAGAAGCCACTATGAGACTGGTAAGGACTGACCAAAAATAAGTTCTCTCTGGTGCTCACAGTACAAAGGGTTCGTGGACAGCAGAGTATAAATATGGTAATTCTTGAAATATGGTATCGTTGCAGAAATGTAAAGACAATCTAGCATTAAGCTGCTTACGACTTAAGTCCTCCTTTCTACATGGCAGCGAGATAAAGGCAAACAAAAGAATTATCTGTGCCATAAGTATCTTCCTGTAACAGGAACAAGGTCACAGAGCTTCGCCTAGCACAGAGGGTATATTATAGTAAGTTTGTGCTTTGGATGATAGGAAACGCCTCATTAACCATTTCTTTTGGCACACAAATGGGCAGACAATAGATTTGGTACTGCTTACTCTGAGAAATTTGAAGCTCCGTATGCAAGGTCTTTTAATCTCCCCAGCTCACATCCTGACTAGGGTTAGAAGACAGACAACTTTCTCTACCCTCAGATTAAATACATAGCAAGACGAAACCAGAATCCATCAGAACTAGCATATTTCCTTAATTTAATTATAGAAATAACAAAGAAACAATTATTTCCATTTAAATCATCAGTACAATAACTGAAGATGTAATCAGACTGCTTACACTGCTGGAAGCTTAGAAGACGACAGACGCATAAAACTGCTTTTTTATTATTTCTTTCCAGGCATTTGCAATTCAAAAAGGTCTCTAGCTTACAAATTCTAATGAGATTTTCAGGGAAGTGCAACTATTTGCTTCACTGCAGCACAGTGGTATTTATGAGACCCAAACGGTATAAATGGCAGTGGTCAGTGATTTTAATCAGACAGCATCCAGTTGCTTCAGTAGAGAACCTCATCTCCTTCTCTGACATATCCCCAAACATATAAATAACTCCAGTGTATCTACCCTAAAGGGCGAAGTGCAGATTAGTCTGCCAACCCACCCCCTTTTGCATGTTTGTCCATTTAAAAATACACTTCTTGCAGTGCTCTTTTAAGACTTAAATCTTCTTAAGTTTAGCGTCTTACGGCACTGTATTTATTTACTCACAGTTCCCGATATAAATGAAACTGAAAATGAACAGCACATTCATTATGATCTACACAAAAAGGTTTAAAATCTGTGCTTCTCACCAACCACTTCTGCTTGGATTTACAATTCTTAGCTTGGACTAGTAATACAGTAGACCTGTAAGAGCAGCCAGTTAATAATTCATCTGTAATATGCTTCTAAAACACAATCAATGCAAATCACTGCTCCTTTACTTTCTTATACACGCTGAAACCATTGAATACTGTAAATGCTGTAGCCTTTGCTCTTTCTTTAGTTGTATTTCCTGTTCTTATTATTTGCTTTCTGGTATTATGGACATATTACGTCTCCAATATTTATCAAAATATTGAAAAATTGGAATGTGAACACAAATACTCAGATTCTGTATGATACTTCAAACTGCTTGCCTCATTATAATAAGCTGTCCTTTCCAAGAACACTGATCCAGACTCTTTTGAAGTCAGAGTCATGTCTCAAAAATAGCTCTACATCAGTCACTTTTTTTTTTTAAAATGAACTAGATACAGAAACTTGGTATCAGAAATATCAGAAAATGTAATTCTCAAAAACAATGCAAGGAGCGACAAAGAACACTAACAGAAAGTACCTTACAGAAGAAGTCTCATGCCATACCTTGTTTTCAATAACAGAAGTGATTCTCCTGGCCGCTTTGTAGGTATAGACAACTATGTTTTCACAGCCATCCATTACTTTGGCCTCTCCTTTATTAACAACAGACTTGCAGATAGCCCTGTTCAGTTGCCAGCTCCCTGCCTCTAGATATATGGCTTTAATTCTGGGTTTGCATTTTTCTGCATAGATGTCAACGACAAAGGGGCATGCCTGCAATGGAGAAAATGAGTTTTATCATCATTTTATCTGCAGTTTTTCCCTTCAGATTTTCATCCACAGCTCCTAATTATTTTCATACATGCTCTGAAGTAAAATTACTCAAATGCAAGTATGCCACTGAATATTAAATATTCAAAACCTGAGAGCTGTGGCAATCTTTTAAACCAAATGAAAGCTCAGGACAAATGAATGTTTCTCATGCTAGTCACAGCATACTCGATATGCGGCTTGGTGCATTTAGCTCCAACATAGCAAACCCTTCCTTGGATACTGAAACATACAGGAATTAAGATGAAGTATTAATGTATTTTAGTGTCTGAAATACCCCTTCACTATTGGAATCCACTAGGATTTCTCAGTTCTGTCTTTAATTTGTTAGAGGCTCAATGCTCTTGAAATATCTATCTCTTAAATTGTCTGAAATCGAGGAATTAGTTAAGTTTTAGATGCAAGTAGATTATACATGTTTAGATGAATGACTAAACCATTCAGAGAGCTATATTGTCCTTCGGAAAGCAAAGACGATAGCCATAAACCACAGCTAGTGTAAGGCACAAAATACCTTTTTGAAATGTCTAACTTGATAAAAAACCTCCCCAAAATCTTAGAGGATAGCTCCCTCTTACGTCTGAAATGCAGAAAGACAGTTTTGTAGTTGCTCTGCTAAGCATACTTGCAGGAAAGGAGAAAGTGCTACTCATTAAGAAACCTTTCACCATGATCTCAGTGTTTTCACTGAGAGACAACTGAAGTCTCTCTGCCATACAGAGTAGATTTGGTTCTGTATGTATTCGTTTCACACACATACTTTTATATGGTGACTACACTGACCTGATTTAGTTTAACAAAAGTTAAAGAAATAATACAATCAGACTATGATAAAAAAAAAAATCAGCTTTTCTTGGGAATGAAAGTTAACTGATTAAATTACCTGCATATTTAATGTTTTCTTTAATTTTTCATAATTTATTTTCTATTCATTAAAGATATCTGCTTTCTTTAGTGAGAGCTATTAACACTGATAGTGTTTCTGATAAATAAATAAATAAATAAGCACACAGAAACATCAGAGAAATAATCCCTGGTCCTGTAAAGTAAACAGTGTGCCATCAGAAGCCCTTTCATTAAAATTTTATGTTGAACACCTTCAGACACTTATGAAAGGCAACAGTAACAGAAATAGCCATGTCTGGAAATTCTGAATTTGGAATCATCTAGGGAAAAAAGTTATCTCCTCCTTATCCATTTCTGTTGCGGCTTGGGCCAGGAAAGTGACCTTTTCAAGCAGAGCCAGTCCTGCATTTTGTAGGTTTGCTCACAGGTCACAGTTTACCATCACTGTCTTCTCATCACTTCCCACCAGCAAGCTGCATGAATTCTTTCAATGGGTATTAACCAAGCTTCCTTCCTCTACAACCCCACAAAATACTGGCTTTTTCTAAAGCAAAAGGCAAGACTTACTCTTTCAACAACGTCAGTGTTACCCGAAGAAACAGGACACCATAATGACTGAAAGTCATAGTGTAAACCCTGTATTAGCAGTTTGGACTGGATCGCTGACCTACTGAGACCAATTTCTGACAGACAGAAACAGTACTGCAGTGGAACATGTGCAAGCAAGCTGTATACAAAGCAGTTATTTTTGCTATATTGCTATCATACCTCTGTCATTTCTAATGCTTTATTGTAGCCCAGAGACAATAAAGTGACCCAAAGGTCACTAGGATCCCCTTCACGGTCATTGGCTTCCATGAGATTCAAATCCATAAATCCTTGTCTTGTTAGTTCATTCTTCTTCATATCAAAATTTTCTGTTTAAAAAGAAATATATGGTAACAGCTAAACATCTGTTCCCTCTGCAAACACCCTTTATCCTTCCAAAACCAAACTCCCACTTAGGTTAAATGAGGTTTAAAGGATGGAGCAGTCTCAGGCTCTCCAATATTATTTGGGAAAGAATGTCCTTGACCAGGTATGTGCTCTTTGCACAGCTTCCCTGTGGATATTAGATAGCGACTGAAAACAGCCGGCCCCTTCCATAACCCAAAAGAGGGTGAGATTTCAAAACACAAAGTTTTGAGTTCATATAGATTTTTTTCCCCCTTTTTGCTAGTAATATTTGTTGTGCTTTAAATTTGCAGAATGGGGTATATTAAGAATGGGAAATGAAAGTCTGTTGGGGCCAGCACCCTCAGTGCTTGAGCTCCTTGATATAGAAATGATTTACTTAGTTCCTGAAAAGCAATAAAATGCCAGTAATCCTAACACCCCTTTCTTGATAGAATATCATAGATCGACCACTCTAATGTCAGCAAACACATAATTGAAATGTCCTTGTGTCAGAGATTTTTAAAAATGGTTTTCTCATCTTCATAACAATGCTAAATCTTTACTATATATTATTAAAAAGGAATTACCAATTTAATAAATCTATCTAAGGGTACAGATGCCGTAATAAATGGCTTGAACTTTGGTGTCAAGATTTATGACATTCGTCTGAACCCTTCAACTGATTAATGACCTGGTGAAACATTCACCACATTATCTTCTTTCCTCTCTTGTGCACTTCACGCACACACATACACCCGTCCTACTCACGTTGAGACCAGTGCACAGAGGCGTAACACTGACAAAGTCATAAAGTGTGGAAAAGCACATACAGGGATGACACCGACGAGAAACTCATTTAGAGGAAAATAACTTTGTATGAGCTTTCCATCATTTAGGAAAAAGTCCAATATCTTAGAGTGGTTTGTGGAGAAATAGTTAACAGGACTTTCCAGATCTAAAGTATTTTGGCCCAAATTAAGGAATGTGCCATAGCCTACCAAAGAATTACATCAAACGTCACATGGGCCGACATACAACTATATGCCATACTGGCATTTCAGACCTAAGTTGCAGAAAAACTACATTTCTTATAGAAACTTCTAATTTTCAGACAATGGCATCTAAATTCCCACTGAGAAATTCCCACTCACTTCAGCTAAACAGCTAATGCTTTTAAACCATTGCTTTCGTGCACTGTATTGTTGGTGTAGCCTACAGGAACTGGTGGTTGTGTTCTCCTAGCCCTGTTATGAGCTAAATATGTCCATTCTCAAGGCCTTTGAGAGCTTAAAGCAATGCCACAGAATTCCTTTTTTCTTCAAAATCAATGTTTGTGGCCTAACGCTGCTCCTGCAAGCTAGCAAGATGTCCAGTAACACTGATGAGATGTATCAGCAGACAGAAAACAGAGTACAGCTGGAAGAGTCTTCACTGTCTGTCAGCTTCCTCGTCTCACTCACGGGAGTCTCAGAATCTCACGGCTGTCATATAGCGCAATATGGACAAACTGACACACCATATATGACCCTTCAAAAGACAGCTTTTTTATGAAAAACTGCTTTCATCTGAAGAAAATACATAGTTGCAATACGCATTTTCTAATGTCTAACGTTCTAAACAATCACCATAAGCTCTAGATGCCGTTTCTAAAGCATTAGACACACGCTAATTAAATGTCTCTCTCAACACTTGGTGAGATATGAAACTAGTATCAGCTTAATCTGAGGAAAGGAGATTGATTAAACGAATACCTGTTACATCTTAATTCACCATATGATCCATGATTAGAAAACCTGTAGTTTTTGGCAGCTATGAAATCTTTCACCTACAAAACTTTGCAATTAGCAATGGGAAGAATTGTCTCAGCAGAAGGTCAGTGGCACACAAACCAGAATGAAGCAAAACAAAGGACAGGAGACTGGAAAAGGAAAAAAAGAAAAAGAGAGAACAATATCTACATGTGTTCTTGGCAGAGGCTATAAAATGCTCAGTTCTTTTATACTATATACATAACAGGATGCTATAAACAGCAGCTTTCAAGTAGACCGATAGCCCTAATTAGTTGCATCAAGCACCGCAATGAACTTACCCTTACACACAGCCCATGCTTCCTCATCGCATTTCTCACCACTAGTTCTCAGTTCAAAGAAATTGTATTCCTCCAAACTCAGCAGGCCATTTCCATCCAAATCAATTGTTTCAAATATATCCAGTAAAGCAGCTCTAAAAGATGAAAAAGGCAGAACTATTTCCAAATACTTCTGTTTCCTTTACTGTCTCATAATATCATAGGCAACTGTTCAGTCTATTTGAGAATATTCTGTACAAACAGTATTTTAGTAACATACAGCTTTTAAAAAAAAAGCTAAATGTTATTTGGAGCACATACTTTTACAGTGGTTACCATGCCTGTTTGGAAATATGACTCACCGGAACTCTTTGGTCAGAGCCAGTTCTCCATCTTCACCTCTATACACCAGCTTTGCTTCTCCAGTAATTTGTGTTTTCACCTTCTTCAGCCTACAGCCTGTTGTGAATGGGAGCAGCCAGTAAACACCTGATCCGAGCTCCCCTTTCCATCCAAACGTCTGCTCTTCAAGGAAGACAAGTCTGTAAGTTACTTCTCAAATGATACCTTTCTTTATTAGTAGTAATACTACACAAAAAGATTACTTGAAAACACTGGTAATGCTACGTTCTTTGCTTAAAGAAAACAGGTCTACAGCGAGAGGTTGTGTGATGTCATTTTTAAGACACAAAAACTAGTGAATCTCTTAGTTACAATAAAAGTTAGAAAAATGTACAGGACCAGAGATGAGGAGAGAACAGCCATACTAGAACTGTCTAATAACAGTCCAGTCATTTTCAGATTTGTACCACTCTTTAATTGTTCAACTTTAAAACAAAAGCAGCCAGAAGCAGGTTCACAAAACCCACTGAGTTTTTAATTTCCTCCCCGGTTTAGCAGTTTTGTTCAAACTAGCAACAAAAATTTCCTATTTAAAAAGTCACAAGTGACTTAGGTTTTAAGAAGCAAGCCAAGTTCCCTGTGGCTTGGAAGGGGGAAGTAACTTCACGCTGCCATTTCTTCTCCCTTATTTCTGCCATAGGATAAGAATATTCTGTGCATTATGAAGTTCAAAATCATATTTATGGCAAGGAGAAAGAAAATTAAAGGAAATTTTATCAAATTTTACCTCTGAATAAACAAAAAAACCTTTTGTTTCTGAAGGTGCAGGAATACAAGTGAGCTTCCACAGAGTATCTACATCGATAACCTGCAACTCAGCAATAGTTGCCAACACACCCCATGGTAATATGGTCCTCACAGGAATTTCATTAAACTTCCATACAAGTGGCTTGCAATTCAGCCCATCCAAATGGCATAACTAAGACAGTATTACACCCTACCTTGCATAAATTCTGTCAGTTTTGAAAGGGAACATGCACAGAACAAGTGTTTCTTCTCTCCTCTAGTCTGATTAGGTACAGTTTGAATTCCTTCCAAACACATGGGAACTCACCCATGCAGCATTAACACATAAAGATATAACAGTTACAACAGGAATACAACAAAAACATCTAACCTCCTTGTTTTGCTGTTCAGTAAAGCTCACAAGCTGTAGATTTTCTGGTGTTTCATTTTCCTTCAGAATATACAAAGCTGTATCCACTGACAACCAATGACAAGATTTTCCTAAAAAGAAAAACATTCCCGACACAAATGCTTAATAATGGCACAAAATTGTTTTTCTTTGAACTCCAAAGTAGATAATTCCATGGTATTTACAATATTGATCCCTGCTAATGCAAGATGGAAAAAAAAAAAATCATTATATGCTATCGGGATTTCCTTCCTATTTAGGCTGATCAGACAAATTGTTGCAAGTCTTGTGATTGTCTTACAGATAATGATTACTATTAATAGCTCTAATATTAAAACGTTTGGTAGTTAAGGAAGCTATTTTCATTGTAATTGATATTAGCAATTAAGGATGTTAGCAAAATTATATCATATTCTCTTTTAATGTTCTGTAAAATATTGTTAAACTTATCTTGACTAGACACCCAGATTACGTAGAAAAGCTAGGGATACCCAAAGATGTAACTCTTAGAAGTGTAACTTTCAATCATTTTCAAGATTTAAATATAAAATATTTTAAAATATTTTAAAAGCCATTTTAAGTAATTACAGAAGTATTTGGCGGAGAATATTGGTGGAGAGTGCTGGATTCAGAAGTTTTGTATTGCTGTTTCCCAGAAAGTACATTAACACCTTAAAGAGAGATACTGCAAACAGTGCTAACATTTGAATTTTGTAATAAGAAGCTTCACAAACCTATGGCCAAAATTAATCTAAGAGGTTGGCTGACTAAAGGGAGAAAGATAATGGATTTAGCTGATTTTCACCGCCCGGGCAGCGAGCACAAACTGACTAAGCAGAAAATATAGTATAACAAGTTAAGTTGTATGTTTAAATAGGACTCTGTCAACAAAGTATTGCTATATGGCAATAGTCCAAAGTATTGCAAGTAAGAAAGGGAGATGTATCTCCAGAGAAATACAAATACACTTACCTTCCACCTGACGAACATTTAAAGGCTTGATGGTGATACATACTGTAGACCTTTGAGGTAAGTGCAGCTTGTACTTGTGACTAATGATTTCACCATCTTCTTCTAAGTAGAAGCATCCTTTGGATTGTGCACATTGCCATTCCTGGAAACCAAGCAAATATTAGATGTTGCCTTGATCTTTAATCAAGATAAAATCACCTTCTCTAAAATATATTAATTTGATAACTTAATAAAACCTGAATAAAATACACCACAATATACAGCACTGATCTTCTACTTCTTTGTTTAAAAATAATTTTCTCAAATTGTCTTTTTTGTACCCAATTTTTGCAGAGCAGTTAGTAGCATTGCTTCACTTGTGAAAATGCTTGGAAAACATACAGATTACCCCAATGCTCAAACAGCTGAAATGAAATTTGAATTGCCACGAAGAATCAAACTGAACTCATTAAATTCTCTGAACTGTGTCATTTACCACTGAAAGGCTGGAATTTTTCTACATTAGTTCCATCAGGCCAATCAAGCAACGAACATAATTGATTAGCTGGACAATAAGGAGTTATTTGCTCAGACAAATCAAAACCACAAGTACTGGTCAAATTAAGCAGCTCTTGACTTCTGTCAAAGCTATTGGAAAGACATAAACTGAAAACTGCTGTCTTTGTGAATAATATGATTCCTAGAGAAGCCATGATTTTGCCAAGATGCTAAAACATCTACATGCTTCAAAAATTGGTTTTTTTAAACAGCAAGTCCCAATTTTCAATTTCAAATAACATTTTAATGATATTTATTTACCAAAATAAAAATAAAGTCCTTCTAGACATACTGTATGCCTTGAGGAATGGAAGACATCCTTGATTTGCCTTCCCTGGCCTGGATTAAGTCCATGATTTCTAGTCCCCTTCCTAGCAATGGAAGATAATGTTTCTGAGCGGGGCCAAGCAGCATGAACCTTTCAGTGTCATCTTAGCCACGTGGCTGTACCGATGCTGAGTGCTCAGTGTAACAAGTAAGCCAACACAGATTTGAGAAGAGAGCTTGTAAAAAATGGAGGAGGTCTGCATGCAACTCCCAGTAAGGAGGCTGACTACTAACTCCATCTGAGGCCAAACAGTCTTCAACAGAGTGCTACATTTCAATTCTCCTCGTACAGCATCTGTTTTCATCACAACGCGTTCACGCCCAGTTGATGGTACTTTACAGTCAATGACCTAAAGGTGTCAGGCAAGAACTGGACTTTGCTAGTGTACGTCCACCCAGGATGCCAAGTAACACACTTGGTCTACATGCAGCTCTGATCCTAAACCTGGATTTCTCTGTTCAGAGCTCTACATTTCTTAAGAATATAGATTTCTCAGGGACTCATGGATTTAAGAGCCTTCAGTCCTGTGCCACAGTTTTGCCACTGATTTCTGGGGAAACAGGACCAGCTCCTCTACACCAAACATTTCTCATTCAAACCTTACCAAATTCATCTTCATTATACTCCTTTGTGCTTTAAGAACTTTTTATAGTTTAGTCAAAAGAGAGAGAGAGGTGTACTTTGAGCAAACTCACCACCTGTGTTGGCACAGAAAAACTGCAGAATTTAACACTATCTCTCCATTTTCTGCCTCTGAATCACTCTTATCAGTTTCACCAAATAGCACAAACTCAGCTATGAAAAGAATCTTCACATTAAAGGAACAAAAACACAGCATCCTCAAAACATCAATGTGGATAAATACTGAATTCCAGATTTTACATACTGGGAAACTACCTTCATCTCAAAATGGTAAGACTACCCTGTTCTTTTCAAGAAGTTGACCTAAAAGCAACAATTATTTCAGTATCAGTACCCCAGTAGTTCTGGTAGCATAATGCATCATACCAATTTTAGATGTCAAATTCTGCTAATTATATTTGCATACAGGAGTATACAATATGGAGTACTTTTAAGTACAAATACGATATACTTTGCAACTCACTTTGTGCTGTTCTTTGGAGAAATTATTTGCAATTTTTAAAGAAAATTAAAGACTTTGCTAAGGAACCTCTAAGAGACTTTAAAAGTAAACACGCTTCCTCAGAGCACAGGCTATTAAAAAGACAAAGATCAATTAAGCTATCTAAAAGAAAGTGGGACATCCAATCCCCGATGGAAATTAAAATCCAAGTCCCTCCCCTCCCATAATCTCCCATAATCTCTTCCAGTTAAGGTAACATGTGGGATCCGGACCTTTGTGGAAACCTATGTTCTCTGCCATCAGAGGTGTGGAGGGAACAGGGTGCTGTTAGAGCAGCAATGATCTCACCTCATCTCACCAGCTACAGCCACACTGCGAAATAAAAGACAGCAAGATGCAAGGTGAAGCGTTCAACACCCTATCACCCATACTGTTTAGCTGTTAGCTCATTCCAAGGCTCCGTTTCAGAAGACAACCACCAGCAGTCTTCAAGAAAGCGTGTACATGGTTCAACAGATTTTTCACTTCAGGCACCACTTTCAAAAAGGAATATGGATGTAACTGCACTCGATTTGGTTTTCTGGGACCTACACAGTCTACGCCATCCCATAAGGTTTTACAACCTTGCACACTCCATGCCATCACCTGCCCCACAGCTTGTAATGTGTTCTTGGTTGGGATGCAGACACATAAAATTATGAATGGCATTGAAAAATATAATTTCTTAAGTCCACACCACCAATATATGAGTTCTAGGGGAAAAAGCAAGCTACGTGCCATTTAAAGGGGGCACAATCTGCTTGATAGGGTGCTAGGCCTAAGCCTTGTGGAAGTGAAGATACTACCTATGACACCTGGTCCACAGAGTCAGAGATCAGTCCCTGGCTACCTTTTACGTAGTGGTATAGACCTAATTTACGAGGCCACCTAAAAATTTCATACTGATCTTTATCCATGAGACTAGATTTCTAGTGATGAGATAAGCAAAAAGGGTCTAATCACAAGGAATAATCAGCAAAGAAGTGAACAGAGACAAAAAGTTACTGAGACTTCATGGTGAGGGTTAAATGTTGAGCAACAGATGGGGTTCTCTCAGTCAAACAAGTGGATAGCGGGAGTTGATATTAACATTAGAGTCAACTTTAGTCAGTGCTGGAATGTGAATATGTAGTTTAGTCTGTTAAATCATTCCAAGTACTATTCCATTCTCTGTAAACTGTTTATTCCAATACTCGCGTGACTTCTAACTTCATCTAAAGCCTGTATGAGAGATTGAGATTTTTCCTTAAAACTTGACACTGCTGAGATAACTGGTTGTTAGCTCATTCAGTCTCTAAGCTTAATACTTTACAAAACTGCTTGAAAAATTAAAGACATTTCAAAAAGATCAAAGTCAAAAGGTCTGCTAATGAAGCAACGTGGCTGTTCTCTGAGACACAGAAGAGCATAACATGAGTTTAAACAGCAATCCAAGTGTGCTATAACTATTCAGAAAGATACTGTGACAATTTTCTTATACAAAAATTACTCTAACAACCATGTCCTATTCCCCCTTTCTCACTATGGCAGTGGTCTTCAAACCATTATCTCACAGAAAGCGCATGGAGCATAGCTTTGCCCTGTTTGTTCACCTTCCATTTTTCTAGCATTTCAGATGAAAGAATACCTTTTTTTACAGTTTTGCATTCAGATGGACATTGTTACAACAGGGACATCAAACAATCCAAGCAAGCAGGGAAAATATCTCCAGGAACAATGTGCTGGTTAAGACGTGAGCAACAGCAAGCAGAAGTCTCACAACACTTCAGGAATCGAATACTGAACTGTTATTCTTGCAGAGAGCATAAGGTGGCGCTGTGTTCCCTAAATTAGCCATGTCAAATTGCAAGCAGGTATGTAAATTTCAGAAGCTAAAAGATTATTTGCTGTTTCGATTTTAGCATGTCACTTCAAAGCATAACAAAAGTTGTCAAATAATAGCTAACGAAACGTAGTGGGAAATGTTTGTATTAGAAATCATAAAGAATTGTTCGGGACTACCTGCTGCTGCCAGTGCTGGTCACTGCCCAAATAACTCATTCCACTGCTGTTACAGTTTGAGTTATTATTGAATAGTCCACACACTCAGGCGTAATTCAAAACCAAAAGCAATGTTTGTGAGAGGAATCGTTTCTATGATTAAAGCAAAGAACTTCAGCTCAACGCTTTGTCTCATACAAAACCTGTTCCACAGTCTTGCTAGTTCAGCTGCATGAGGCTACTTCACGGATACGAGTGGGAGCAGATCACTGTTTCTTTCAAGCAAAAAAAATTTTCTCATGTATTTCTTTTGCTACCCACTGCGTGTACAGGTCTTTCACTCACTTCAGTAGAGCAGAATGCAAAGGTAAGAATCCTTAGCAGGGATAATTTAGCTACCCAACGCAGAGAGATGATTTTTGAACATGATACACTGCTTTCTTTTTTTTTGTTATTGTCTTTCAATCTTCACTAAAACCGACACAAAGAACACTTTGCAGAAATTTAATGTCTCCATTAGCCATCTTTTAATGAATTGTGATTCAACTACAGTTAAAGCCCAACAGGTCAGCATGTTGTTTATGCACATCTGTAGCACTTCCACAACGGTCTATTTTTTTTTCCCCCATATTTATTTATCTGGCTTTGAACATGCCACAAAACTCCACTGACAAAAAGAAAACACATGGAAGAATGTACTATGAATACATTCCATGTTCTCTATGGGTTTTTAAGTTGAGACATTCATCATGTTTTGACTTCCACTGTTTTCTTCTGTCAGAAATATAAAGCTGGCATGGGTCCAACTTCACAATGGCAATATTTTCTTACTGTCACTTACAAAGAAAGGTGAACGGCAGAAAAAAAAATCCTGAATATAAGATAAATAAGAATTTTTGGGTGCTAGATTCTGATCCGCACTGCAAATGAACCACTGTGTATTTATTCATTAATTATGACAGTTTGCATTGTGCCCTTACTAGTGAGGGTTAAAAAAAATTTGTAGTTCTACTTACACCTTTTCATGTTTACTGATTTTGTATGTTTACAGTTTTTGTATGATGCTAATCAGTAGTAATCAATATCAATCAAAGTAGCTGCTTTTTTTTAAGTCAGTTCTTACTTGCTTGTACAAAGAAAGAGGAATCCAATAATGAGAAACTGTGCGATGGTTTTATATACTACACATCATTTTTGAACAAGGTGAAATTGCAGGTTAAATTGCATGGAGGTCCAGATACCTAAACAGACTGCAAAAAATTCCTCTGAGATTATGTTTTTAAATTTTAATATAGAACAAATGTCACTGTATAGCAATGTTGAAGATATAAAGGACTTCAGAGTTCAATAACAAATACAGAGTTGTTATTTGAAACAAAAATGTAACTCCTGAGAACAATCAGTTCAGTTTTCTAGCAGCAGTTATACTATGTGGTCATAACCATTTTTTCCCTTTTATACAGGAGTCTCAAGGTGCACATTTTTAATGTATCCTAGCAGTTTCCTGTTAATGTTTTATATTTCTACAGCTATTATTTTCTGTTGAAAGAAAACTAGTAAAGGTTCAGTCAAGACAGGGAAAACAAAGGAAAAAGATCAATATTAACACTCTACAAATATTGACTTAGCAAAGTGACTTTGTTGTCTTTCTCCCACGGGAATTTATATTGAATGAGTGATTTATTAAAAAGAAAATACTGATAGAACATATTATTCTAACTAAAAATCAATATTTTCAGGCTACAGCATATATTTACAAATTAATGCCCAACAAGCTGAATACGCTCATGGATCTGTTATTTATTTCCAATTACCTTTCATATAAAGGTTTATGATACACAACCTTTCAGACTACTTAAGCATTTAAAGTTCTCACCAACCTAATAAATTATTAAATTTTAAATTTCTCAAAAATTCATTAAACGTTTTATCCAACAGTGGTTTCATTTATAAAAAACACACTTTGTTCTATTAAACCTTCACACCTGAAAAATTATTTTCAATAATTAGATGTCAGCAAAACCAACAGTATATAAAAATGTTAATAATAATATGTATCAAGAAACCTCTCAGTTGTTTATAGCTGCCCTTGACAAACTATTAATAAAACATATGCTAAAAATCAGAGAAAAACGGTTTCTTATTTAAAATGCAATAACATATGTGCCTAGAGGAAAACAGCATAATTTCAAAGGGACTAGCTTACGTGATACCTTCACTGTGTCTGGCTCAATTAGCTTTGCATTTCTGTTGCTACTGGCACCCATGCTGATCGTGGTAGAAATGGATGCTTTGCAACTTTGAGCTGATGAGGGTCTTGAAGGAGTTTTGCTATCACCTATAAACACAGATATTTAGTTACAAACACATTATTTCAACCCACTCCTAGTGCTATTTATCACAAAGCCTCACATTTATCGGCACACAGAGAAAAACTAAATGACAAGAACATCAATCAGATAAGCTGACTTCCATTATAATTATATAAAATTTAATAATTCATTAGCCAAACATCTTTACTTCCCTAGTGTACATCCCAGGTGAATGGGCATAGGAATAGCAGAACCTTGGAATCCAAATCTGCCTGAAGGACAAGAAATTCTTACCACATGATTCCATTTAACTTGCAATCAAGGTAAATCTGTCCTAAGTAAGTAGGTTTAACCTGCTTCTAATTTAAAGTTATTTCTTTTCAGAACAGTGTAATTTCCCTGCCAGACAGCACATCACTTACGTACAGCTGCCCAATGCAGTTACTTGCAAGCCTTTACTTTCTGGTTCCTTATGTTGGGGCAGTTCTGCTAGCACAATTGTTGATTTAGGTACATAAACTCATTCTTCATCAGTGTTTTGTCATCTTTGCACCTCTTCAGTATTGCCAAGAATCGAAGCAACTTAAAGTAAACAGTGCACACTACTACATGCGAATATTTCAACATGTACCTTTGCAGTCCGTTAGCCTGTTGTCTTTTTCCAGTTTGGGAAGGTTATTAAGTATCTTTGTAAATTCAAGAAGAACATAAAACTCTCATCTTGATTGTGCTTGAAAAGTAGCCTCGATAATTGAAATAGACAGACTGCTTATTGATAAATGTTTAAGGTTTCATCTCTGATCTGGGAAGGAAATAAATAACTTGCTGTGTTGCAACATCTGAGAATTCATTTTCTCTCCTCCCTCTGGAGTCTGGCACATGAGAGTCAATGAAGTTCACCCTTAAGAATTTGAGAGCTTCAGATCACAGATGCAGCCAAAGTCCATTTGAACAGAGGGGTCAGATATTCTACCACAACATTTACACGATTGCCACAGTAGCAATTTGTATTAGTCAATAACACCCTCACCAACCTGAGAAAAATTAAACAAATACTCAACTGTTCATTGATCCAGAGCACAAACTCCAACAGAATGAAAACTCATTCATTTACATGAAATATAAATACCTTTTTTTGGTGCTAGTTTGTGATCAGTTTTCCTTGAGATTCTTGGTGATGGTTTTGACACCGGCAGCGTGATCCCTTCAGATGAGGTTTCAGCTTGACTTCCAAACTGCTGTTGCTTCAACCGACCATCAACTTCCAGTTTCTCTCGTGCAGTCTTGCAGCACTGCTCACTGGTTGTCATGTACAAGTCACAAAACTTCAGAGAAAGAAAAGCAATCTGAATCTAAGTGAAACATTCTCACAGTTTTAAGGATTAGACTTAACATTAGTAAGGAAACGACAGGTCACTAGATGTAATGCATTTTCTCTTAAAGCACAATATTAATTTTAATTTTCATGAATCAGAGCACCACTCAAGTGACATAGTAAAATGGAGCCATGATTCAACAAGGAGGTCCAATACTGAATAAAAATTAAGTGCGACTTTCAACTCAAGAGGTAATTTAATTTCTTTCTAGATATTTGCAGACTGATTTTTCTTTAACATCTAATTTTTAATAGGGAGTTACTTTTCTCCTATGAAACTATATTTATGTACAAAGCTTTGTGGACTTTGTGGTTCAAAACTTAGTCATTACTTAGAGATTATGTCAAAAAACCTGTAAGATGTTGCATCTTGAAAACCAGATGTTCAACATATACAATAATGTCCCCCACATAAGAAATTATGAAATGTCACAGCCATAGCAGCTCTCGCTGATTAGCCAAGTTTGCTGTCAACTGTCATCTTCATCCTGCCATTCCTTCAGCTCTTACCTTCACACATGCTGTTAGGCTTTGTGCTTACTACTAGGCTCTGCCTCATACATGAAGTTCACTTGCAGCAAGTGACCTTTTCAAGGATAATAGCCAGCTAAAGTGAGTGAAACAGGAATATGCACCAGCCCATGTTCCACTATGTAGGCAGCTGAGAGGGGCCTGGGGTGAGGTCGTCAACAGACCAACGCATGGGGGTGGTATGCATTGTATGTGACAATGCTAATACTGCCAATAACACCAAGCCAGTAACAGAGGAACAAATAATATCACCCTGTGTGCCATACCTTGTTGTAGTCAAGTTTGCCACTGCAGTTAAAATCAGCTTGCTCAGTAATGGCACTCACTTCATCCCGAGTCATTTTTTCACCTCTCTGCAATAAAAAGCAGCTCATTTCAGGCTCCTAATCAAGACTGCTGTTCACCTACAGCACACATTTAATAAAAACAGAAAGAAATATTCTTTTTAATAACCTTCCAGGGGGTCTTATCTTGCAATACATTTACATGGATTTTGATTTCAATCATCAAAATAGAGGTAAAAAATTACATCCCTACAATGCTACTAAATACTGAAGAGATTAACTGCATCAGTTCATGCAGTTTTGTGGTGTCTTCTGGAAACCTACTGTGAATTACAACAATTTCAGGAAATCTTCCAGAAACTGGGGAATCCCAGCTTTCAGTCATTCTTACTTGTACTGTAGCATACTAACAACCAAGAACTAACTTCATAATAGTTAGTTTCACTTCTTTACTTGAGCTATCCTACCTTACCTACAACGGGCCAGTCTACATCTGCAATGTAGTGCCCTAGAAGGGTTACTCCAAGCATGAATTTGCTTTGCACCTATCTCTACTTGGCATCTGTAGTGTGAAGCCAAAGCAATTTCTCTCCTTTTGGAAGTAAGTCTGAACGTGCACACCAGAACGCCATCTTGAGTGCCCCACCTGCAATGTGGACACAAGGAACATCTCTCAGGAAGAAAGCATGTCTTCCACAAGGTCCTTCCACAATTTCCTCTACACAGGTGCAGAGGGCTGTTAGCAGTGACACAGCAATACGTGATAGCTGTGCAGAAATCCACTTCACATCACTTCTCAGCTACAGATGCACAGTGTAAACTTGGGGCTGAAAACAAAGGCGAATTTTATCGTTGGTAAACACGTGATGTGGACATATGGTCCCGGAGCCATAACGGATTGCAACAAATCAAGTCCTGATCCTCCCTTCTTTGAACAGCACCAGTTGCTCCTGCAGGCACATCTAGTAACTTCTTCAGTCTGGGTCTATATAAAGCAATGCCCTGACTTCAGGTAACAATACAGAGTTTATAGCTCTTCATGGCATAACTACTGTAGCACTCAACATCTGTTATTTCTGTCTTCCTTTATATAAAGAGTATTTCCTAACCATTGCAACCATATCTTTATGTTCATGAAAAATGAGGACTGAAGGCTCTGCCACAATGTTTGAAGTAAACAAATAATTTTTATTGGGTCAACCACAACAAATACAGTATGTAAATTGTTCCTTCCACCCCCCTTTGCTCTCCTCTACATTTCCTTCAAATTGTTTTATTCTCACTTTTGAGCACTCCACTAGAATTCTGCTACTAATCCATCTTCAATTGTTACTGTTCCCTAGTGTTTGTGCTGTGCAAGATGATTGGCTTCTACAACGAAGGGTTTCTTTTGGTTTACAGAGCAAAATACCTGGCAGAACAAAGAAAGAATATCACTGTAATCATCTGTGATGTACATCTGTGTAGTCTAAAGTCAGGGCATCAGCTCTGCACTGACCTGAAGACTGTTTGCTTGCTTTGCAGATCCTCAGAGGACCTAGATTTTAATCTCGTCAACATTCGTCATTCTAACATACTCTTGCTGTGTTCTTTGAAGTTTCAGCTCCTACAGTCTCATAATATCATCAAAATCACAGCTGCTATTTTAAAAAAATTATTTTCTGTCCTTTCAGATAATACAATCAAGCCTAAAAATATGGTGACAGTTCAGCAGCTAAATAAGAAGTTCCAGATATTTTAAAATGTCATTATTTTAAGCCATATTAATGACAGGTATAGGTAAGCCTTACGATACTTGCATGCTTTGGGCTGATAATGCGTAATCTCTAACAAAAGTATTGACCTGCCCTAGCACACCTTATCTTAAGACCCCACTGAACTAAATATAAGATCCAGTGAAGTCACTGGCGTGACAGAACATCATAGCTGTGATAAAACTAAAACACTGAGCTTCATATTTTTTGTATAACTTGGATAAATGTTATTTTTTAATTTTGTATCTGGACACACATAGACAACTTGTGAGGGGAGAACAGCAAAGGTAGATCATTAATTCTCCTGGTAAAAGTTCATAACCCCAAAAAGCTGCAGGGGGGGCTGTGTAGAGAATAGAGGGATTTGCACTAACTGAACCAAGGGAGAGACATGTGCTTCCCTTTCATTTGCTTCACTGAAGTATTGATAGTGTTTCAACAACACATTCTGTGAAAGCATTAAAAATATTTTCTCTGCCAGCTTCCACCTTCAAGGTGCAATTGCTAAAAAGGACAGACAGGTTATGAACTGCAAGACTAAGGGGGAAAAAGTATAAGAAAGATCATTGACAACCACAGAAAATTGGACATAAGACTGCAAAAAAACCCCCAAAAAACCCAACCCAATAAATCATGAATCAGTTATCATTTCTTTTGACCAGGAATATGCATTTACACATTCAGAACAGTTTTAGCGTTTAAATTCCAAAATCACTACTAACGGTTAAAGATGGATAATTAAGTTTCTACTGATACCTACCGTTGTAAGAATTTTATAAAGTTCATCATGTAAAATATAGCCAGTGTTATGTGTGTCTATTTTTCCAAATGCTTCAAGCAGTTCAGTTTTTGTAGCTGGTTTTTCTTCTTTTAAAATAGCACAAAAATCATCAAAATTCAGCGTAGTCGTTTGTGAAGTCCAGTATTTATTAACTGTCTTCTGAGATGGATTTCTTCCAGCCTGTTGAAGTACTGAACAATAAAACACAATATTAACTATATATTCCAGCTGTCAGTAAAGGAATTTTCTCAAAACATCCTTTAATCACTTTCCATGTTCAGACTTTTTTTTTTAAAGCCCAATCAATCCAAGGGAAAAGCAGGTCTGAAGGACAGTTTTGCTTACAGTCTCAATCCTGTGCTCTGCTGATGCAGACTGACTGTGACCTTCCCTGGCCTGGAATTCTGTGATTTGTACCAGAGAGGCTCAAGCAGCCTGAGGAGCAGATGAGCTCACTCGCATACTCTTTTGAAAGGAGTCATGAAATGGACAGTGCCTGGCATCCTAGGTCATCCCTCCCGAACTATGATCCAGCAGAGATGACATATGCCACACTGCTGAGGATCACACCCACTTTCTTCTACAGAAAAGGGAAGAAACCAGAGAGCAGTCTGTAACCTTTTATAACACAGCAGTATCACAGGAATTATTTTGCTTACAGGCTCTGATCTGCAGCTTCCCCTTGCTCATGTGCACTGTTCTACTGAACTCAATGGGATGACTTCCTTAAAGAAAGTTACTGGGTTCAAACCATTAATTAAGCAAAATATCCCTCAATTCAAAGACAGCCTCCTCAAGTGACAAGTGTAAAATTCAGCCCAGTGTCTATATCCCTTGCCTTAACATCAAGAGCCTATTATTTGTAAGCTTGCACATTACTGGATCCTGTTTCTACTGAAATCCACATAAGTCTTTCCACTTACTTTGCCAAGACTGAGATCTAGTGTAGAATTTATCTTAAACAATATTTTATATCACATCTATACATTTGAACTTATCACTTCAAATTACACAACACGAATTTCAAATGTAAAGGGAATACCTGACACCAACAGACATACATGAAGTCCAACAGCCAATACCATACATGCAAGCAGTCCCACTGCTCCTACACCTGGCATTCTTCAAAATGAATTTGCCGGATCTAGTTAGCCTCTTAAAAATCTTTACTGAAAAACATCCTTTCATCAGTTTCCAGTGTGAAGAAGGTATTACGTTAAATTGAAATTAAAATCAAATGCACACTATCTGAAACTGGAGGGATGCTTTTATGTCTTCCCATATAATCAAGTTTTTTAGGGAGACACAAGAGATCCTTCACCTCTACCTAAACTGGCAGTATGATTTTTAGCCAGCTGACCAACGGCCAAGCCTGTACCAGCTAAGAGCAGTTCAGTAGCATCTGTGAAATGAGGCGGTGGCATTGTTACAACGCTCAGCAGGCAGCTGTGTCACCATAAAAACAAACAAACAAAACCAGACACCTTTGCTGCTAATCTCCAATTGAATGCCAAGGACTAAATAAAGATCTCTGCCCTGTCACCTCTACAAGCGGAGTCAGGAGAACACAGCAAAGCTTATGTCTTTATCCGTGCAACGCTTGGGCACATAGCAATTGTTGAAGGATTTCAATGTCAAGGTCAGCCAAGGGAGGGTAGTTACCCTGTGTATTTGTGTGGAGAGCAGAGCTCCCTGGAACGTCAATACAGCGCAGTATTCACTTACATTTAACAAGGTATCCTTCAAATATGCGACCAGTCTGTATTTTTATATATCTGGGGAGATCAGCACTTGCCATACCCTACATGCCTCCCAAGTTTGTATTTTTGAAAGTTCAGTTAGACTGTACCTTTTATTTATACTTCGAGACCGATTCTGCTAAATACCTCAAGTAATATTACACCACAGGACATGAAGCTACTATCTGTAAGTAAAACTCCTATGAGTAAAATTTCACAGGGCCAATCTCTAAGTGAATATTTCACGATTTCAAATATTAGCCATACACCATGTAGCAAGAGACGCTGAAGCACTGGCACCACTCATTTGACAGATGCCAGAATTTACTTAAGATGCAATGGAAGTCCATAATCGCTCTCCATACTTAGAAATATTTTAAAATAAATTCTTAAATATCTCTGAAAAGACTGGGAGCCTGAGCCACTAACTGCGCTTTCTGAGTTGACCTTGAAACCAAAACGCCCAACACTTGCTATGTCGCGAAAGTGGCATATGGATAGAGATGAAAGCCAAAGCTTATATAAAAGAGATGGCATTTGTTCACACCTCTCCTATCTTAAACTCCAGATTATCCCAAACTACCATCAGGATGTTGTAAAGGCACTTTTATTACAGCTGAGAAAGCCTGGATAACACCAAGTCACATGCTGAAAGAATGTGCTTGCTAATGGGCAGAATTTCATGTACTGGTATCGGGAAAGAAGCTACCAACAATCAGTGCATCAGCTCTTAGTGCTGGTTTCCATGCAAAGACCTCATGTATTTCACACGTGGGCACTGCAGCCATTAGTGAGAAATTTATTTCCTCACATCTGCAGACAAAAATAAGGTGACTAGAATTATAAGTAAATTATTTGATAGCATAGCATGTTTTTGCCTTTAGCTGTTGTTTGGGTTTTTTATTACAAATAACTGCAATGCCATAATACACACACCTTTTACTGGCATCATAATCTATGAGGAAGACTTGTGAGAGCAACCTGTACTATCACCAATCCCAAGTGCATTCTGAGCTGCACCCCGAAACCCACAAAATTAAAATCTTTATTTTTTAAATGATACATTTTGGTTCTCTTTATCTAAATGAGCATTTATGTTCTCATGCTTTCTTTGTCAACCATGTTAGCCGAAAACATTTTTTCCAATAAAGCAAGCTAAGATTTTCACATAATCATGGAACTCCGGGTAAAAAAATAGAACTGAAAGACACTTTTGTGGGTTCCCTAATACAATCCCTGCTACTACATACAACCACAAAACCATACAACTTCATACAACTTTTTGACGAAAGGACAAAAATGCTCCAAGTAAAAAAGAAACAACACAAAAACCCCACAAACCTCAAACATAGTAAAGCATAGCAGTTCTAGGATTGCGTACAAGACATAGTAAAGTTCAAATTTCTCAAGCAAATATAATATCATCTGGCAACAGTGAAACCTGTTTCACAACTGAAACAGGTTATTACTCAGTCTTATTTTAGTTCTTCCTCATCTTGCTCAGACACTAAGATATATTATAAAGAAATCAATTTCCAATACACAGTCCTAACTACCATTTTCCAGCTACACTTTTGTAACTTTCCTAACAATTCCATGCAGGGAACTTTGAAATTCCATAGGTTTTCTAAACAAATTTTGTTAAGCTCCACAGCTTTGAGTATCTACTAACATGTTTATTTAGTACATTTGAAGCATTCAGAGATTTGTTTTTTCCTATTGTACCGCTGACAGCAATACCACTAATACATAAATATAATACAGATGAAAAAAAATGTAAACTTTTTCTTTCAGTCTATAGGAACATTATAATTCAGTAGGAGTTTAAATAAGTGTAAAAATCTTACGAAACACAAGCGTCCAAACCAGTCCATTTGATCCCATAAAGCTGGTAAAGGAAAGGCAGTATTTTCACACACTACCCAGACACAGTGACACAGAACTGACCTGTGAGACTATCTTTAGGTGTAAATTACCATATCCATGCCTCCTATAACAACCTCTCCTACGAGTCTGCAAACCTCTGTGCCAATTAATGCCAGTTACCATGGCAATTTTCTGTGCCAGGGCAATTGCCCATTATAAACTGAACTTAATCATTTGTCAGGGATAGGAGAAAGTTTACTGTAGAAATGTCACAATCAAAAAACAATACTTGGGCCTACCTCAAGTAAGCAACAATGCTGCCATCAAATTTGGTGTTGTTAAACAACTCACTCAGGTCCCCTGTAAACTGTCAGCTGGGATTGACTTCTGCCCATTCATACTGGTGATTTACAGATGAAGAGCCCTGTATGCTATTCCCACTTCCACAAGTCATCCAACGCCCAGCAGTAACGATTAAGGATTTCAGGAAAATCAAAAACACTGAAGAATGGTAGTTTATCTATAAACTTTAAAAAATCACTATGTGACATGCTGTATAACAGGCAAAGGACGAAAACGTCTTCAAAGATACAGCCACCAACACTTGAAATCTGAACCCTCTCTAAAACTACTGTAAATTCCTTAAAACAGTTACCGAGTTTATGCACTGGCATACTCTTGCTACTGAATTGCCTTATGCTGTTTGTAAACTACCCACTGCAATCACACACAATAGTTATGGAGAAAAAATATCTAACCATTACCCAAACTGAGTTGTTCTTTTGATTTAATATTTTCTAAACTGCTTTTTAAAACAGCTAGATAAGCTGCTCGGCAGTTGGTGTAAAAGATTGCTTCTTCTGCATGCTGGGACTTCTTTGCTTGGGAACTTTCTGAGCGTGGGACTTTCTGAACGGAGAGGGATGCATTATTCTCAGGACTGCTGGCCATTCTGTGAAGAATACAATTACAGTTACAATTTGTTACTTTCTTACCTGTTTAATAACTTCTCTGCTTTGTCCTCTGAAACACAGACTAGCACAAATTAGCCCAACATCTAGGTCATACATTTTCTATTCTCTAAATCCGAGATGGGAATACATACCTACGCTTGTAGGTAAGCACCATGAGATCTGCAAACAAAAATAGCTTGAGCGCTACTTATTACAATTTATTCTTTATTGGCAGCAAAAAGTTTCATTTTATTGTATTTTATTTTAATTTCAGACACTTAGTATCAAAATTATTATATATTCATGTTATTTGAAAGCATAAAAACAAATTTTCAAGTCATCTGTGATACAAACCGTTGCTATCCACGTTTAGAAACAAACCACTAGGACTTGTCCTTACTACAGATTTCCACTAGAATTTCTACTCTTGCCACATTAGCTAAATTCTCCTAATGACAGAAACAATGGGAGAATTTGCAGAGAAGTGCACTTGTTGGCTCTGATGACTTTACTACCTCTCTCTGTGCCTAGCACAATGATAAATTAATGAACATACCATATATACCACTGTTTTGCTCCCAGTGCCACTCTCATTGTTGCTACAGTTCACCAGCAGTAGCAAAGGTGTAGTGTTTTTAGGAAAAAAACCACCAATTTAAACGTGGCCACAGGTGTGAGGCACACAATCATTTGAAAGACTTTTTCACCAAACAACAACAAAGTAAATATTATCAAGAATGGATGCAGCGCTTATTGGAGAGAGCTCTGTGGCTGCATGATCACGACTGACTCCTGTCACGTGGGATTCCCTATTGCATTTCTTGGTGTTAACAGCAGAGTAACAGCCTCCTTTGTCCTCCAGTGAAAACTACGTGTGAGCACGTGTATGTTGTCAGGGTTTCCTCCCTTCACTCAAAAGGTGACTTTTGTATTTCCAAGACTGATTTAGCTGGAAAACTGGGTAGTTTTATACAGCTTCAGCAGAGACACCGTGTAATGTCTTAAACACCATATAACATGCACAGTTTAAAAAGTGATACAATCATTATTAAATTGATTACATGTTTTTTTCTGGTTCTAACCCATACCAGAATGGGGTTTGGTTTTTTGTTTTTACAGTTATAACTCAATAAAACATATCGTTAATAGCAAAACTGCTAAAAATTTTAACTCTTAATCCTTCAAGTATGTGAAGTTAAACACACTTCATTATACTTTTAAGACTTTTCTAAATACAAGCAATAGAAGTAAATAAGCCTGAAGCTAAGAATGCATGTAAAACTGCATAACTTAGGCCTTTTACGTACAAGAACGCTACCCACATAATGGTGAAATGATAAAAAAAAATATGAAATGCATTTTTTCTAAATTATTAAAATGATTCAAAGCAGTAACTAATACTGTTCGCTCACCAATGGCCAGTAAACTTTAACAGCAGCTTTCTGCTTTTACCAGGGGTGATTAAGGTCTTTAGAAAGCCATCACAGAGGGACACTAAATCGTGTTGTACTGTTGGTCTAACAGCCTCTCATATTATTTTACCCAATGTTGACTTCAGAAAATATATTCCAGGATAATAAATTGAATATCTCAACTTCAGCAACAAGGCAACGACATCGTAGGGTCCCCTTCAGGACTCATTGGATTCTTACTCCAGAGGCCTAAATCACTCGCACCTTGTTGAGTTATATAGGTCTTTTACACTTGGGAAAGAAAGATAATAATCGCTTATCATGGATGAAGTACCCTATTTATAATACACAGACCGCCTGCCTGACACTTTAATATTATACTGGCATTGGAAGGACCCCATAGGGACACTGTGATACAGTCTGGTTACCGCAAACGGGTGTCACAATAATTAAGCACCAGTGTTACACACACAAAATGGAAGCGGGTTAAAGTCAAGGAGGAAAAGAAGAATAAATGTTAATTTTCCAGTAACTAGCTTATAAAATGTGAACTCTAGTTTATACTCCTTAGGCTTCCCGTTACCGAGGTATTTCTTAGGTAAGCCACAGCTCTGCCGAGAAGCGCTGCCCAGAAATCCAGCGAGCGACAGCACCGCCAGCAGCCCCACGGCTTAGCAGGAGGACGATGCAGCCTATTACTTCCCATTTTAGTTGCGGCGATTCTAACAAATACAAACCCCTTCCAAGCAGGAATTAAGCCTTCTTGGCAACACCGGCCTTCCCCGCCAGGCCCAGGTGCAGCTCCCTCCTCAGCAACCGCAGGCGGGCCGGGAAGCTTCGAGCCCAAGTGCCCAGGCCTCGCTCACCTGAAACGAGGAAACTTTTACCACATGAATCTTCACCATCTCCCTCTCCGGTGGGCGCAGGGGTCTTCTTAGGCAAAAAATTTACCACCCAACCTCCCGCAAAGCACATCGCGACCCCCTTCCCTCAGCCCGTCAGAGGGGAATCGACTCTCCCGCCCTGCCCGGCGGCCCTGAGGGGCCGGCATGGCCCCACCTCACCTCCCGCCCTTCGCTCAGGCCTCCCCGCGGGCTCCTACCGTGACGCGGCGCCAAAAGCGCGG